AACTGTAAATGTTGATTATTCCTTATAATCATTTATTTATAGGAAATCTGTTATATTATAATTAAATTTAATACATACTTTCATCGTCTACTTCCATCACTACATCAGAGTACACGTCCCTCACAGTTTTGAATGCTTAACAATCAAGTTGTTTATGGTATATTTGATCATAGAACGGCAGTAATTCACTTAATTAATTTACGGACATATTAGAAATGGCTCGTAATAAGTATTAATTTATTGTGCGGTGTTAGGGAAGAATTGTTAATATTAGTAAATAACTGTAAATGTTGATTATTCCTTATAATCATTTATTTATAGGAAATCTAGTGTTTTATAAGAACCATTCTGTTTATAATATTTTAATTAATAAAAAACACAGTATTATTTCACTATTTTTATTTTTATGATGCCTGACAGTAACGTTAAATAATAAAGTTTTCAAAAAAAAAGGAGAAATTGTTTTGTTTTTGAACTATTTTGGATATTTTTTATTGTTATTTATCTCATAGTTGGTCAAGATTAAACTTTTACGGCAATATCTATCAATTATAACAATAGATAATAGATTATAACTGATATATCAAATAGTTACTTTCTTTCAGAGTATATAGGGCAATAGTGTAGTTTCATATTATATTTTAATGAATTATTTTTTATTCAAAATAGATATTTCTTAAAAATAATGTGCCGAATTATTAAAATTAAAAAGAAATTCTAGTCCAAGAGTATAAAAAATATAGGTCAGTCTTTAGAAAAATGTATATATGTATACTATAGGCACACAAAAAAAACTAATTTATAACACTAAAAAAGTACTTTTTATGCGATAAAAAATACAGATAATTCTTCAGACAAAATCAACACGTGCTTGCCTCGTGCACGGCAGAAAAGCAAATCGAGATAATGGCCGCCGGCAGTCGTCCTCCGCTCAAGCGGCGAGTAGCTAGGAGAGGGGGAGAGGTCGTAGACACTCGGTAAGCGAGAGTTCTGCAGCGTGAGTAGTCTAGGAACTGGAAGATGTCGCGTCGATGTCGATTTGGGTCTCAAATTGAGGAATCAAGCTAATTTCTTAACACTTCCTTTAGTTATTAACTTGAATCTAGGAGTGCTAAATTGAACATTAATCATGATGGGAAATGAACTAATTGGTCTGTCTGAAATGGGCATTAAAGGTATAGGATTTTCTTGGGCTGAGTGTACTGTTTGTTGGTCATCTAGCTAAATTGAAATCGTTTAGAAATTCATCTACTTCGGATGTTAAATCAGATGGATTATTAAAAAGTGAGTCAAAGTCTAAATTTTCGAAATCATCTTCTAACGCATTAATTTCTACTAGAGAGAGGGCTTCAGCAACGACATTTTCTTTACCCTTAATATGTTTGATATCGAAATCATATTCTTCTAATTTAATCTTCCAACGTCAAAGTCGATTCTGTGGAGCTTTAACGGAATGTATCCACACTAGAGGTTGGTGATCCGTTTGTAATATGAATTTCCTACCAAATATATATGGGCGAAAGTGCTTACATGAGTCTATTATAGAAAGAAGCTCTTTTTCAATTGTAGAGTAGTTACGTTCAGCACTGTTAAAAGTCCTACTATAAAACGCGATAGGGTGTTTATCTTGCTATAAGACTGAATCAATTGCTTTGTCTGAAGCATCGGTTGTAATGGTAAACGTTTTAGAGAAGTCAGGATAGGCTAAAATAGGGGCGTTGGTTGTCAATTCTTTAATTTGTTTAACTGCATTTATATAATTTGGGGATTGATACTCAATTTTGGAATTTTTCTTGAGACAACGAGTAAGAGGAGTAACAACTTTTGCATAATTTTTAATAAATTTGCGATAAAAGCCTGACAAGCCAAGAAATGCACGTAAAGCTTTTATGTTGTGCGGTAATTTTTGATAGCTTTATTATTGTCGGGGTTTGGACGAATGCCTTCAGTGGAAATATGTGTCCACGAAAAGGTACTTCCTTACGAAGCAACTCTGACTTATCCAGGGAAACTTTTAAATTGACAGATTTTGATTTTTCAAAGATAAGTCGTAGATGGGTGATATGTTCCTGAAGGGATTTACTAAACATGACTATATCATCCATATATACAAAGACGGATTTGTAAAGGTGTTTTTTTAAAACTTCATCCATCATGCGTTGGAAGGTCGCGGGAGCGTTCTTCAACCCAAAGGACATTCGAACATACTCATAGTGGCCGTTATCAACTGAGAATGCTGTTTTTTCAATTGAACGCGGGTCCATCAGTATTTGAAGGAAACCGGATGCGAGATCTAAGGTGGTATAATAACTACATTTTCCTAACGCATCTAATACATCGTTTATTCTAGGGAGTGGATATTTATCTTTAACTTTTTTCTTATTTAATTCCCTAAAATCTATAACCATGCGCCACTTTTTTTTACCGGACGCATCAATTTTTTTAGGTACTATCCAAACAGAGCTCAAACAGGGGCTAATCGAAGGTTTTATAATATTGTCACTTAAAAGTTTAGTAATTTGTTTTTGGATTTCTTCCTTAAGTTTTTGAGGATAACGAAATGATTTTTTATAAATAGGTTCATCATCGGTTGTTCGAATGTGGTGTTTAATATTGGTGACTGCGGTGAGTTTTGATTGTTCTTAATGAAAGATGCTTTTGTATTGGTGACATAATTTAATGATTTTATCTTTTTCTTCTGCATTCATGTGTTCTGTATGCAGACCTTTCGTCGGATTGATAAGCGTAACCTTCATTTGCGGAACAAATACCTGGTAAAATGTGTTCATGATTGTTAGTAATGACAAAATTTCCTTTATGAATTGTGACGGGTGTTTGCTTAAGTGAATAGGTGTTAATGATCTTGTCTCTTGTTTCGAGAAATGGAATGACGGTATTAGGTGTGGTAATGGTCTGGTTATTATAATCATTTATGGCATTTATTAATTTAAGGTCTACGTTGCTAATGAGTGCGTCGGATGTCTGATGAAATTTGAAAATTAAAAATTCAATTATCGTGTCCTCGCCAAATTCATGTAATAGTGTAATTTTTAGACGATACTGACCGTTTGTTTTACCGTGAGCTGTTCTAATTTCGAATGGCTCACAATATACAAGATATTCTGAAAATAATTTTTCTGCCAATTCCGGGTTCATTACTGATTTAGATGCTCCGCTATCTATTAAAATTTTACAATTAAATGTGATTGATTGTATATATGGTAATCTTGGTGTTTTGATTAATAAATTATCATCTAAATCTAAGTACTCTGAGGTTCGTCGGAGGCTGGTATTGGAAAATTTTCATTTTCTTGAGTATGTATGTCTTGTTCAAGGGATTCGATACTTGGTTCGGGATAGTTGTCATATTCTTCGAGGTATGATTCGGGATTAATGGGAAGGTAGGCATTTCCTTCTTCATCATAAACTATTTGTAATTCATTTTCCAAATTTGTCACTTCCTCCATTTTATAATGAGGGTGCGCATTGAGGGTAACATTTTGGAAATAGTTAACAAATGGTTTTCGAAACTGTGAGACAGTTCTCATGGAGACATTTCTTGTGCCTAAAGGATTTTGTTGTAGGATGAAATGTTGTCTAGGAAATTGATTGTTTTGAGATTTATTTTGAAGGAAAGCAGGATGTGGTTTCGGTGCTATGAATGGTCTAGGAGTTTGTCCCATAGTTGTAGGTAGAGGTCAATGTTGTTGTCTAATTTGATTATGAGATTGAGAAAAGAAAGGTCGTCTTGAAGATTGTGGTTGATATGAATGAAAGATTTTAGGTCTAGGTTGAGTATTGGGTATTTTTGATGTGTTTTGTGTGTGTATTATTTTGTTTCTTGATGCCTGTATATGTTGCATTTGCTGGTACATAAGTGTGGATTGATTTAAATTTTGCAGTTCTTTGCAATGTGTTAGAGCATTTTGCAAATTAAGAGGGCGCCCATATAAAAGATGTGTTCTGTATGGTTCGTTAATTGCAGCGCAAAAGACTTTAATAGCTTCTCTTTTATAGAGGTCCCTACGATATTGTTGGTCGGTTTGACCCTCTACTGATTCGTTTAACTTACTAAAAATAGAATGAACCCTAAGAGAATAATTTTCATAATGTTCATTTTGAAACATAGCGCAACCTAAAAGCTGATTATAAAGTAAATCTGTACTTTCTGTGCAACCAAAAATTCTTAAGGGTAGGCCAATCATCTGGTCTTTCGACCGAATACAATAAACTAGCTTCACCTTTTAATTTATCGGTAATAGCTAAGAATTTTGTTGTTTGATATTCTGGACTAGAAGTGGATACATTTTGCCAAAAGTTATCTACAGACTTAATAAATTGGGTTAATTCAGTTTCTCTTCCATCAAAATTCGGGATGAGACCAAAGAAGAAGTCAGAACGAGTTTTAAACTCAGCTAGGGAGATAGCAATTGTTGCCTGGGTAGTGGTCATTTTGTATATCAAAGAGAGCAAGGATAACGAGTAATGAAACGAACACTGTACTTACTTGATTAAAAACTCTCTGAAAAATAGGAGACGCAGTGGATTGTCCTAGTTCCTGATGAATAGGGCGGTATCCTGGGTGCCGTCCTACTTCCTGATGGATTATTGCTGAAGGTTCTTCGAGTTCGTTTTTGAATTCCAAACGTTGCAGCTCTTGGAGTTGAGGATTTTTCTATATTTTCTTGATGAAATTACCAGTGAAGACCTTTTTGGAATCCTGTGCCCAGCGCCAATTATAAGAAGATTTCACAACAAGCGTTTTTTTAAACACTATTTATTTCAGCACAGAATTTTTACGAAAAATGACTTAATTAGGCAATTTAGCTTTCAAACTGGCATAATAGCACGTTTTTGACAGAAACTTAGAGTCTGATAATAACAACATAAATATGAACTTATTGGGATCCGTCAAATGGGCATTCACCATCTGATGGCAAAATTTATAACTCGAATGAGGGAAAAATTTACATAGTAACTGTGCACGCAAATTGTAAAATTGTTTATTAAAATTAAAAAAGTAAAAAACTTATTGATAATGGAATCCGCAAAGTTTTCTCCTCGTGGTAGATCGAATAAAAAGTTAGTCTGTTCAGTGAAAGGCTGTAATAGCACCTCCAACAGAGATCTTGAATTGTGTTTTCATTACTTTCCGATAAAAACAGACTGTTTTATATACATAAAAAATATTTTTGGAAAATTAGAGAAAAAAAAATTAGAATGTTGAATGAAAGTAATAGGTGTCAATAAAGTGAATTCCGGAATGAAAATTTGTTCAAGTCATTTTTATATGGATGATTATATTTTACCAAGTAAGTCGATATACTTAACCTCAATATTACAAACTTTTAATAAATCAAATAATTATTATTCATTATTGCTTGTTCATAGATGCGCCAGCAAAATTAAAACGTTTGAAGAAAAGTGCTGTTCCTTCATTAAATCTACCGCATTCTACTAATGAAAAAAGTAAACATGACAGAAAAGTCAGAGTTTTGAAGAGAAACATTAAAAAAGCAATGTAATAGAGAAGCTTCAACAAGTTGAACTAATGAACTGTCATCAATCTGTAGTTATGTTTCAGATATTATTAATAGTGAGCAAAATGCACCAACCTACTGTGGAAAATGTAAAAAAAGTTCATCCACTAAAGATTTTGGAGTGCAGGTAGAAACTGTTTTTCTGAAATCAAACCTCCTAAATTTGTTAAAGAATGATGCACAGTTAAGTGCTTTTACTGGTATTGAGTCATTTGCAATTTTAAATACTCTTGTTGAAATCGTGACACTTAAATTTGGCAATCAACTGAATCATCATAACGTGAAAATGAGTATTCGTGATAAAGTAGTGATGACATACGTGAAATTAAAACAAAATACGCCTTATAATTGTTTAGCTATTTTATTTGATTGTTGTTCAGAAAACACGTGTCATCGAGTATTTCTTGATATGATTAAAGTCTTGAGTTTGTGTCAGAGGAATTATTAAATGGCCATCCGAAGAAACAGCTTCGAAAAACCTTCCTGTCTGTTTCGAAGGATTTGAAGATACAAGAGTCGTTCTTGACTTTACAGAAATATTTATCCAACAACCAAAAAATCTCTGTTGTCAAGTGATAACTCATTCTTCCTATAAAAAAGGGCAAACTTGTCAATTCATGACAGGTGTAACACCAGCTGGAAACATATCCTTTATTAGTCAAGCTATGGTGGTCGAATCAGTGGCAAAGCTATATTCAATGGTTGTGGTATTAAAAAGCTATTGGAACCTGGTGATGGCGTGATGGTTGACAGAGGTTTCCATATAGAGGATTAATGTGAAGCAAATAAATGGATTATGTACAGACCTCCTTTTTTGAAGGGTAAAAAACCATTTTCAAAGGCAGAATCGATTGAAACTGCAAAAATAGCAAAAGCAAGGATACACATAGAACGTTCAAACCAAAGGATCAAAACGTTTAAAATTATGTCAGAGACCATGCCCGGTTTTTTAGTGCCAATAATTGATGATATTTTTACTGTAATCTGTGCAACAGTTAACTTGGGCTCACCAATCATAGAAAACAAAAATTTCATGAAAATATAGTAAATTGTAAATACATAAATAAATAAAACAAATTTGGTATAAGAACGAATATGTTTATTAATTTATAATAGAATTAACAATTTAAATTAGATTTAACTTTATAACAAATGCAATATTTTCTTCGGAAAATTTATTAATATAAGTTAAATATTTATAACCATAAATAAATATCTTTTTTAATGAACACTTATAAACCTNCATAAAAAATATTTTTGGAAAATTAGAGAAAAAAAAAAAATTAGAATGTTGGATGAAAGCAATAGGTGTCAATAAAGTGAATTCCGGAATGAAAATTTGTTCACGTCATTTTTATATGGATGATTATATTTTACCAAGTAAGTAGATATACTTGACCTCAATATTACAAACTTTTAATAAATCAAATAATTATTCCTTATTGCTTATTCATAGATGCGCCAGCAAAATTAAAACGTTTAAAGAAAAGTGCTGTTCCTTCATTAAATCTACCGCATTCTACTAATGAAAAAAGTAAACATGACAGAAAAGTCAGAGTTTTGAAGAGAAACATTAAAAAAAGCAATGTAACAGAGAAGCTTCAACAAGTTGAACTAATGAACTGTCATCAATCTGTAGTGGATGAGGATATATCAGAAAGTGTGCAAGATGTTTCGGATGTTATTATTAATAGTGAGCAAAATGCACCAACCTACTCTGAAAAATGTAAAAAAAGTTCATCCACTAAAGATTTTGGAGTGCAGGTAGAAACTGTTTTTCTGAAATCAAACCTCCTAAATTTGTTAAAGAATGATGCACAGTTAAGTGCTTTTACTGGTATTGAGTCATTTGCAATTTTAAATACTCTTGTTGAAATCGTGACACTTAAATTTGGCAATCAACTGAATCATCATAACGTGAAAATGAGTATTCGTGATAAAGTAGTGATGACATACGTGAAATTAAAACAAAATACGCCTTATAATTGTTTAGCTATTTTATTTGATTGTTGTTCAGAAAACACGTGTCATCGAGTATTTCTTGATATGATTAAAGTCTTGAGTTTGTGTCAGAGGAATTATTAAATGGCCATCCGAAGAAACAGCTTCGAAAAACCTTCCTGTCTGTTTCGAAGGATTTGAAGATACAAGAGTCGTTCTTGACTTTACAGAAATATTTATCCAACAACCAAAAAATCTCTGTTGTCAAGTGATAACTCATTCTTCCTATAAAAAAGGGCAAACTTGTCAATTCATGACAGGTGTAACACCAGCTGGAAACATATCCTTTATTAGTCAAGCTATGGTGGTCGAATCAGTGGCAAAGCTATATTCAATGGTTGTGGTATTAAAAAGCTATTGGAACCTGGTGATGGCGTGATGGTTGACAGAGGTTTCCATATAGAGGATTAATGTGAAGCAAATAAATGGATTATGTACAGACCTCCTTTTTTGAAGGGTAAAAAACCATTTTCAAAGGCAGAATCGATTGAAACTGCAAAAATAGCAAAAGCAAGGATACACATAGAACGTTCAAACCAAAGGATCAAAACGTTTAAAATTATGTCAGAGACCATGCCCGGTTTTTTAGTGCCAATAATTGATGATATTTTTACTGTAATCTGTGCAACAGTTAACTTGGGCTCACCAATCATAGAAAACAAAAATTTCATGAAAATATAGTAAATTGTAAATACATAAANATTAAACTCCCTAAATCTGTCAAAAATTTTTCGGATATGAATCAAATGATCGTGAAGATATTTTGAAAATATAACTACATCATCCATGTAAACAAAACAGAATTTATGTAAGTAATCGCGCAGTATATTATCCATAACTCTTTGAAAAGTGGCCGGTGGATTTTTCAGGTCAAATGGCATACGAGTATACTCATAATGACCATTGTTAACTGAAAAGCAGTTTTCTCTATACTTTCCGGTGACATCTCTATCTGGTGGAATCCCTGAGCTAGATCGAGAGTAGTGAAATACATGCATTTCAAGGATTTTTTCAATCCTAGGCAGAGGGTGTTTATCTCCTATGGTCTTGTAATTCAACTTACGATAGTCAATGACTAATCGCCACTTTTTTTTACCTAAAGAATCTAACCTTTTTGGAATGATCCAAACTGGACTGCTAAAGGGCGAAATCGAAGGTCTGATAATTTTATTACCTAAAAGTTTTTGAATTTGATTTTGTATTTCTTGCTTTAAATCATAACTGTGATCATAAGAAGCATAAATAAAAAAATAAGCTCTTTGAACATTTACTATTGCCATACCCACTTGAACCTGGTCATAATATTTATGTTTTTTTTTTTAATGAAACTTGTTGATATTTATATTTCAGGCATTTCCCAAACTCTTCGCGTATTGCTTTACTAATGTTCATAGTTTTTCCTTTGAATGGACATTATATTTCAAGCTAGGCATTTGGTTTACCATTCTTAAAAATAATACCATAAGCTGAAAATGGATTGTTTTGACTTATAATTAGCCCCGTTTGTAAAACACTATGACCAGTTTTTTCTTTAAACACTGCTCAAGCGTTTTTCTTCATTTCTTTTCCATATTCGGTGTATTGACTTTTGAAGTCAGATACATCAAATAAAGATCGACATTTCTTTTTCCAATTGGGATTTTTGTTTTTCATATAAGTGAAAAGGCCATAACAGGTAGTCCCGGTTATTCTATAACGTCTTTCGTTAAGCCATTCCTGATAAGAGAGTAATGTCTTTTCACAAATATCAACAACGTTGACAAATAATTTTGCAAATTCTTCAAGCAACATTGTTCAAGGATGACATTCACTTTAATGTTGGCAATTGAATCCATCAGTTGACTTCGCTGATGGTTAAAAATAACTTGTAAGGCATTTCTATATATTGAATTGGAACCCGAAGCTGGATATACCTTTTTGATAGGAGCATGTCGTCCCAATCTGGCAATTAAAGTCATAGGTTAATTTTATGATTAATGGTTAAACATTAGTAATCATTAAAAATAGACAATTTACTCATTTACTGCATGAGAAGATGACGGAAGGTTTTTTAATACTATTCTGTCAATGTCATCCGTATCAGTCTTATTTAAGTAAAAAATTTTCTTTTCTTCATTACTTTTGTAACATTTGTGGTTCCTTAGTGGTTCGGGATTGTAATTGTTTATGGCTTTTTTAAAACATTTTTTCCAAGCACATTGCTTACCAGTGCATGAAAGCTCCTCAGCTTCATCGATGTTATTTCTATTCTATTCTATTCGGCTTGTTCTCGGTAGGTACTTGTTACATCCACACTAGATCAGCTGAGCGATGTTAGTCGTCTAGATCCAGGCCCGTAATGAAACAAATTGTAAGTTCAAATTTACAAAGGCGATTTGCGAGTTCAATTGTCATTGGATTGAAAAATTGTATAACGCTTATTTGTGTCAAGAAGCCATGTTTTTTTTTAATTATTATAAATGGGACACCCTGTATATAAATACATTTACATATTTTAAATTTTTGCAACACAACGTTTTTCAAGTAAAGTAGAATGAACTCGTTCAATTGGAGAATTGGATGAACTATTGGTTGTATAATGAACATTAATTTTGAAAAGATTACAAAATTCTTGGAAAACGGTATTTTTAAATTCCTTACCTTCATCACACACAATCTTTTTGGGATAGTTATGGTGAGCAAAGTAATGTCTTAATTTATTCAAAACAGTTATGCCAGATGCGTTACTGATGTAGTAGGCTTGAACATACTTAGAAAATAAATCTATGATTGTAAGAAATTTTGTATCATCAAAACTAAACGTATCTATATGGATTACATCAGAAGGGCGTTTTACTATTAATGGACCTGAAAACTCTATTTTATAAGGATTTCGTTCATATTTTGATGGCACTATGATTTTTATTATGATATTGTTCTACTAGTTCATTTTGTTTATCTGACTGTAAAATGTCTTTTGCTAAAATGTTACATTTTACCATTTCTAACTTTTCGTTTGTATAAACTTTGATTCTGTATTATTGTCACAAAAATGTATAGGGTATAAACTACTTGGGTTAAGAATTTGTTTCAACATTTTCTGAAGGTTTCCTAATTCCTGACCTATTCTAAGTGTAATTATATAATTATGTTTAGAAAAAGGCCTAGAGTAATCTGTATTATATTTGTCTCCTAATTTTATAATTAAGCGATTTGTAAACTGATTAATACGCTGTTCTGAAATAGGAAGTGTAAAAGTTGGATTTTCTATGTTGTCGTCATTGTTATTATTAAAGGGTAGTTTTGTACTGCTTTAATCTTTTCGGGATTTGGTTTCACTCCTTCGGTGATGTTAACGTGCCCAAGAAAAGCTATCTCTTTGCGTAAAAACTCTGATTTATCAAGTTGAACTTTTAAATTAAACTCCTTAAATCTGTCAAAAATTTTTCGGATATGAATCAAATGATCGTGAAGATATTTTGAAAATATAACTACATCATCCATGTAAACAAAACAGAATTTATGTAAGTAATCGCGCAGTATATTATCCATAACTCTTTGAAAAGTGGCCGGTGGATTTTTCAGGTCAAATGGCATACGAGTATACTCATAATGACCATTGTTAACTGAAAAGCAGTTTTCTCTATACTTTCCGGTGACATCTCTATCTGGTGGAATCCCTGAGCTAGATCGAGAGTAGTGAAATACATGCATTTCAAGGATTTTTTCAATCCTAGGCAGAGGGTGTTTATCTCCTATGGTCTTGTAATTCAACTTACGATAGTCAATGACTAATCGCCACTTTTTTTTACCTAAAGAATCTAACCTTTTTGGAATGATCCAAACTGGACTGCTAAAGGGCGAAATCGAAGGTCTGATAATTTTATTACCTAAAAGTTTTTGAATTTGATTTTGTATTTCTTGCTTTAAATAGTAGGGGTAGCGATACGATTTCCAATAAATTGTATTGACATCTACAGTCCTAATTCTATGTTTGATTGCGTTGGTAAAAGATAAATCTGAATTTTCATTGAAGAAAACATCTTTATATTTACTACAAATAGCTGTTATTTCAGTTTTTTCTTCAATGTTTGATTGCGTTGGTAAAAGATAAATCTGAATTTCCATTGAAGAAAACATGTTTATATTTATTACAAATAGCTGTTATTTCAGTTTTTCTTCAATATTTAAATGATCTATACTAATTACTTCTTTAATGTCTCAATCTATTGGTGATGAAACTTGCAGTTTTTGAATTTCTACGTCTACAAGGGGTTTAACATTTATACGGTGATGAAAATTAATTTCAATATCTCGGTCGTCTGGTAAAGGTATTTTACAAAATCCATTATGTGAATCAGCGATCGATTCAGGAATACAAAAGTTATTTATTCTAGATTCTGGAATTAAAACAGGGCCTTCAGAAATATTAACAGGAACATAAAAGTAGTTTTTAGCTGTTTGTTTGAAAGGTTTAAAATTTTGTGAATTTAATTCTGTAAAAATGGGATCCCATAACTACCTACTGTATTTCTAAAATGTTGTTCTGATAATCTATTTTTGCTCCCAATTTCTGAAAATCATGACTAGGCATATGACATAAAATCATAAGGGCGTCGAATTTATCGTGCCAAGAGACTACATGAAATTTTAGTTTTTCTTTGATGCCAAAGGGTAAATAACATTTTTATCATCGTATATAATTTTGTTGAGAGATTTAACTGAAAAAGGTTTTTGAAAAATAAAATTTTTAAAATACTTATATGCTGGGCCGGGATTTATAATACTATTTGATGCGCCTGAATCTATTAAAATTTTTAATCCTAAACTAGGTTACGGTATAAAAGGTAATTTTCCTGTGATCGAATTTATGTTGATGGTAATTGTTTTCAGGCATCCATTTGAAAATTTTCGAATTCTACCTGACCTAAATTTGATTCGTGTCTATCCTCTACAGGATGTTCTAAGTTTTCTGAATAGCCTTCATGGGTGGATTCTTCAGAGGGATAAGATAACTTCTAAGTTGTGGAATTCTTGGGAAATGAAAGTTGGTCGAGATTGTGATTGGAAGAAAATATTGTTGGGGTTTGGGAAATGTGTTTCTGGTGGAAAAAGACATTGCTGTGGGTTTATATTCGGACGATTGTTTTCCGAATACCTGGGTACTTGATGGGAAGTGCGGTTTTGAAGGAAGGGGTTGAATGCTTATGGGTGCTCTAGGAAAAGGGTTAGATGTTTGTGGTTGGTAATTTGGAAATATTGGACAGTTAAATTGAGGGAAAAAATTTGGGTCTAATATTGGGATTTTGTATGGGCTTTGTATGGGTTTGGAAAGAGATATATTTTGTACAATGCCTGTTCTAAAGATACTACATTAATATTTAATAGATAACTAGAGTACGCTTCTAAAACCTGCTTTAAAAATAGCTAAAACCTGACTTGTATACATGTTTTCTTTACTAATAAGTATATCTGTATTGACTGTCCTAATACTAATGTGTTCCAAAAGTATTTGTAATTTTCGTTTTATTTTTTCGTAGTATTACTCAAATGATTCTGAAAATTTCCGGTAACACGTTGTGAGATCGTTTAAAAGCAGTTCTTCTGATCTAGGATCTCCAAAGCGATGAAGGAGAGCATCTTTCAGTTCA